TGCTCTGCGTGCGGGTGAGCCCCGCGCGGGGGCCCCGCGGGTGGCACCGGCGGGTGGGCGCGGTGGCCTCGCCGCCACGTCGCGGCGTCCCCGTTGCGGCTGCTGGGGCCCTGTGGTGGCATCGGGGCATGGGAGGGACCAAGGGCCATTGGATCTGGGGAGAGGTTGGACATGCCGTCCATGGCCTGTGGGCACTTGGGGATGTGCTGGTGGCACTGGGAGAAGGGAGACATTGGCCTTCCAGCTGTGGCCTCTGGGACCTCAAGGATGTCCAGTGTTTCCCCGTGGTGGCACCAGGAGCCAGGGGCTGGTGGCCACCTCCCTGTAACCTCTGGGTCCCTGGGGATGTGCCCGGCCCCTGCGTGGTGGCACTGGGGGAGGCGGCTGGTGGCCACCCCGCCATGTCCTTTGGGGCTCCCTTCCCGTGGCGCTGCAGCCTGGCCCTGACATCTTGTGCTCTCCTTCTCTCTGCCCTGCAGAGGTACGAAGCGGAGGCCGGCCTCGACGGAGGCCGGGAGAGCTGCTCCTCGCTCGCCGTGCCGCCCTTCGCCAAGGAGCTGCACGTGGAGGTCGTCTGCTCGCCCGCGTACAGCGCCGCGGGCCTCTACGACCRCATTCTCTACAGGCACTTTGGAACGCCTCGGTAAGCCGGCTGCACTCCCGCCGTGGCAGCCCCATCTGATACACRTGGATCATATAGGTTAAGTTGTTGATAAATATATGCATGGACTCGTGTGCAGCATCTCCGCTCCCATCCTTCACAGGACATCCTTTAGTCTCCCTCCCTCCCTGTGATTTCGGTGCACAGGGAGGGGCTTCCAGATACCCCAGGAGACCCCTGTGTCCAGGAGTGGGTTCGTATGCCAGGATTCAGCTTGTATGCGTTGAATGGTCAGTCTGTATTAGAGGTCTTCTCTTGTGACTTGCCCACCGAGCTTCTTCAGAACTAGATGTAGCTGTTCCAGGCCTAGGGAGGTGATGGTGTTTATAATTAACAGCATTGATCTCTTATATCATTACATACCATGTATATCTTATATATATATATATGCTATATATTGTATATGCTAATGATTATATATCATTAGCAGGTTCTTCACGGAAAGTAATAATATTCTCCTTAATAGCCCAAATGCACCTAGTGTCTTCTGGGACACGTTAAATCTTTCTGTGGCAATTTATAATCTTGGAATACAGGAAAAGGAACAAAGCCCCGTGAATAGCTACGTTCATCTTTTAAAAAACACTTGTGGTGTGTTGTTTCTCATTGGTGAAACTGTGTATGCGTATATGTGTGTGTGTATAGATATGTGTATATTTTTTTTTGTAGGCTTGTTCAAGAGGAAGACATTATATGTATTCCAACATTTGGATGTGCTGATTTTTTAGAAGAAAATTCAGACAGATTTCTTAGGTAGGTGGCAATGAACTGTGGCTCTGTTACATGGATAGAGGAAAGGTTTTTCCACTAGCGATGCTTTTGAAACGGGGCAATGGATTTAGTATGATTTGAGGACAGTCAGTGCCTCATAAGCCAAAGCAGAAGCTGGGTTTCCTTGTGCAGGACGAATGCTAAAATGTGACGGTTTCTTTGCTTTAGAGTAACTTGGCCTTGAAACAGTTCTGCATTGAACGAGGAAAATTACCTTTGTATCAGAGTAGGGTATTTGCAGCAGGGTTTGGATAGTGGTAATATAAATACCTCAATTTTTAGCCAGTGAGGTACCGTAACAAGTGTTTTCTGGGCCGTTTTTCTGAAGGAGGAAGGACCACAGGAAGCACAAGTCTTCTGTCTGTGCGCTTATGTATTTGCCATACAGCAGACAAGACAGCAGAGTTTATGGGACCTAGAGAGTTTCAAACTATTGTAGGGTGCAAGTAGGATGCTCAAAAGATGGAGGAAACTTTTGCAGGTCCTTTAACAATCCGTCCTGTGGGACGTTCGTGGAAGAAGCAGCATTTTCCCAGCCAAGTATCCAGGACAGGACCTGTGCTTGAGTTGAGTTCTGTTGTGCAACTCAGAGGAACTCTGCAGCACCAGGTTTATATGCAGGTTTATAAACCAGGCTTATATTCCTGCTGCCCAGATTTTGACTCAGTAATTTAGACTGCTTGCTCTTCCTTTAGATGGCCTGAGCTTTACTTCAAAGTGAGGAAGATTTTAGGCATGGTGGAAGGCGAGCAGTCTGAGGGTTACCTGGTGGACACCCAGCACACATCTCTGTATCTGGTAAGATGTCAGTGGAGAGCAGGGTGGGTGTTCAGGAGATCTGAGGCAGAAGTTGCACTCTAGTGATGGCAAAGGTGCCTTGGGGGTCTTGTGTTTCCTGCAGTTCAAAGGGGGCATTTTGGGACACAATCTGTTGCTTGATGTCTTTTCTCTGTTGGTATTTTACAAGAGTTCTATTCCTTCCTCGCAGGTGGGATCAACCAACAGTGCTGTCCCATCTTCCCCAGCCTATGGCAGCCACGAGCTCTGGAGCAGTTTATCTCCTGCTGGACTTTCTGATGTTGTGAAGCAGCTCTGCGGTGCTCTTCAGCCTCACCTGAACAGTTGGTGAGCTTAACCTCCTCCTAGCAAGTCTTGGGAGAGCTGGGACCCCCTGGGACCCTTGACTGAGTGAGTTAGGCCTGTTTAGCTTGGAGGAGAGAAGGCTGAGAGGGGATATGATTAACATGTATAAGTTCATGAAGGGAGAATGTAGGGAGGAAGGGGCCAAGCTCTCAGTGGTGGCCAGTGACAGGACAAGGGGTAATGGGTGCAAACTGCAAGACAGGAAGTTCCCATGTCCATGTGAGGAGGAACTTCTTCACTGTGAGGGTGCCAGAGCCCTGGAACAGGCTGCCCAGGGAGGCTGTGGAGTCTCCTTCCCTGGAGGTCTTCAAAACCCRCCTAGATGCCACCCTGTGCCCYGTGCTCTGGGTGCCCCTGCTGGAGCAGCAAGGTTGGACTAGATGGTCTCTAGAGGTCCCTTCCAACCTTAAACATTCTGTGATTCTGTGACCCTGCTCCACAGTCATCCCAAGAACTGCCTGTGTGTTGCAGGGGAGCTGCGCTGAGCGGGGCGGGCAGCGTCCTCCTCTCAGGACCCAGTGGCAGTGGGAAGCTGACGGCCGTCAAAGTCGTGTGTAGCTGCCTTAACCTTCACCTCCTCAAGGTAATTCCTCCTAGGGACAAGTGGCTGGGGGATCAGTTCAAAGGTCTGGCTGGGACTGGCCAGTGACAGAGGCTTAGGAAGAGATTGAAAGAACAGGGAGCGTGGAGATAGACTTTGTCTAGACTGTTCCCTCCAATGCTCAGGAATCACAGTAAAATATATTGAGAGATATTGGAGAAGTTAGGAATCGCTGTGGCATTGGGCGTGTTCAGTTGTCCTTTGKGTGGGCTGAGCAAATGCCATGTTGGCAAGTGAAGTGGAGTAACTTGGCTGATGGTTTATCTAGAGTTCAGTAAGGCTCTTGAGGAAACTGAGTGGCTATGGGTTGTCAGTGAAGGTCCCGACATGGATTTAGTGCTGGTTGARAAGTGGGAACAGGGCAAGGATAATTGGTCAATCCTCACATTAGAAGACCCGGAGCAGAGTTCTGCAGGTACCTGTGCAGGGGCCCTCACTGGCAAGCGGTCTCAGAAGCAACCTAGGATAAGGGAAGAGCAGTGCTCGGATGACTTGCTGATAATACAAAGTTATTAGAGAGAGGAGAAATGGGGTCAAACCCTGCTTGAACTGGAGGAGATCTTTTGGAGAGCAAGTGACTGGACGGTAAAATAGCAGATAAAACTCACTGTAGGTTTAAAAAATAAACAAACAAMMCCCCTAACTTTTTGCGTAGAAAATGATGGGTTTTGAGSTGACTGTCACCAATCAGGATCAAGAATTGAGTTTTATGTCAATGACTCCAGGAGAACTTCAGTTCTGATCTTCATATAGGTCCAAAATCACACCGTCACGTAGTAGGAAACAAACCCAGAGAGCAGATTATACTGCTGTGCAGATCCATGCTTTGCCACCGCTCAAATCCAGGGCACAGTCCTTGTTTCCCTCTCTTGGGAGCATAAAACCGAAGTAGGAGGAAAAAGTTCAGGGGAGGACGATGAATAAGATCAGGGTCTAGATTTCTGTGTGAGGAGCAGCTGAATAAACTCTTAAACTTGAAAAAGAAACAATTTAGGGAGAATTTGAAAAAGGGTTTTAAAATCCAGAATGGCCTGGAGAGGTACCTGGAAGAGTAATGGGGGAAGAGTGTTATTTGTATTTATCCTGATCCTTAGRTAGCACTTGTGGCTGCTCTTGGAGACAGGGTAATGAGCCAAAGGGACTTTGGATGTGAACCACGACAACCATTCCTATGTTCTTGCAGCTAAGATTTTTAACTTGTAAGCAYTGTGGCCAAAGTCTGTGGGCTCTAGTCTATGTGTCTGTCCAGCACTGGAAGTTCTGGGTGCCAAGGGTGCCTCTTATCAACTTGTCAAAAATGTGGTTTTCCTTCAGCGTGCTTCTTCACCCTGAGAGGGCGAAGGACTTCCTTGGATGCTGATGCTTTGTGTCCCATTCCTTACCCTTTAGGCTGGGGCTTGAGGTTGTGGGGTTCTCCACCTGCGCTTGCAATGAGCAAACTGCAGATGAGATGGAGAGTGAGCAGATGGAGCTCCCCTTGCTGCTAGGTAACTTTGCTGGGCATGAGGCCGCAGGGAATCTCGGAGGAGTGTCTGGCTGTCCCTGCCCTTTGGGATGAGGCTCTAGGTGCTCCCAGGGACAGCTCCCATGTGGCCACTTGGCACCAAGAGGCAGCACTGCCCATTCCCAGCGGTGCCACAGCCACTGTTCAGGGCTCAGCTGCTGCCTCTCCCTTCCAAATGGCTCCATCCAGTGTTTGCCTTGTAAACGGTGTCTGGGCCTCCAGCCACTTTTTTTTTTTTTTCAGTAACCTTCTACCTTCCTGCTGCACTCTGAGCCTGTGTGACACGAGGCTGAGCAGCTTCCTAAGCCTTCCTCTCTGCTCTTTGCACTGCTGCTACGAGACATCCTGCTCTTCTCACATTGGCCTCTTGCATGGCTCTCCCATCCCTCCTAGATGATGTTGCTTGAGCAGTCACACCAGCTTCAGCAACTACTCCAGTTCCTTGGTATCACCTCTTTGAGACAGGAGCATCCCTCACCCCTCCGAGGGAAGCAGCCATTTGCCTGTGTCAGGAAATCTTGAATCTTTTCCTGTCTATTTTGTGCCTCATCAGCAGTTTGTGATAAAGTGCATCTGGGGAATGCTCTCCTTACCTCCCCTTCCAGCAATGTGTTGCTGTTGAAAAAATGCCCCATATGGCCTATATTATTATTATTATTATTATTATTATTATTATTATTATTATTACTACTGCTACTATGTGTGGCCTCTCTTGCAGGTTGATTGTGTTAGTTTGTGCGGTGACAGCAGTGGAGCCACAGAGGAGAAGGTGCAGTTGGCCTTCACGCGGGCCCAGCAGTACCACCCATGTCTGCTTCTACTGAAGGACATAGAGGTGCTGGGCAGAGACCGRGATGGGCTGGGAGAGGACTCCAGGGTCATTGCTACGCTGAGGCAGCTGCTCCTGCACAGAGATCCTGCAGCGAGGTATGGACCCAGTGCGTTTGCTGTGGGGACCTGGCATGCTTGTGAACCTGTGGGGTCTCCCCCAGACTTGCTTTGCTTGTTTCAGAGGCGTCTTGCTCTTGCAGCTTAGGGGCTGCAGGAATTGGGAGATTTTATCCGCAGGAATCAGGGGATTTTATCCTCTAAAACTGCACAGGTTCCTGATTTTGCTCAGATGAGCAAACATGGCATGTTCTAGTGGGGCTAAAATGACAAGGGCCGCAGGACACACAAGGTCGCTCTGCTGGGGTTGTGAGGCCAGGCCCAAGGAGAGTCCTGCAGCGCATGGAAGTACCAGAGAGGGAGGCATCAAGGGAGAAAAAAAGATGTCACTTGAGACAGTGCTTGCAAAGCAGTCCAGAACTTAAACTGGAGGAGAGAGGCTCTACAGGAGAGCTTAGCTGGTGCGTGCAGGTGCCACAGAGGAAAGGCTGCCCTTTGGAGAGCAGGGCAGCGAGGGGAGGGCCGTGGGGAGAGGGAGCTTTCCGTAGAGCCGAGGCCATGTGCTGTCCTCCTTTCTCTGCAGCCACCCCGTCTTGGTGATTGGCACAACGTGCAAGCCCCGGGATGTTCCCACAGACGTGCAGACTGCTTTCCTGCACGAGGTGAAAATTGAAGCCCCTTCCGAAGAGCACAGGAGGTCGATGCTGGGGGCGCTGACCGCCAGCCTTCCTCTGGGCAGAGAAGTGAGCCTCGCCACGCTGGCCCGCAGGACGGCGGTGAGCGAAACCCTGCCGAGGGGCACGCGGGCAGCTCTGGGCCAGCAGTGTTTGCCAACCTCCTGGGCCAGGCCAGGGGGAAAGCAGGGAGTTCCCAAAGCCAAGCAGCTCCGTCAGTGGATAACTCTGGTCCTCAGACGTGGAGGTGCTGTCAGCTTTCCCTGCAGGGTTTCCAGTGCCAAAGGGATGGATGGCTTAGCAGAGGCATTGGTTGGTGCTAGAAGGGTACTCCTCACCCTGCAAACTGAGCTTGAGTTAAATAAATGAAGCTAAAGACTTGAACAAGGGCACAGGGAGTCAAAAATGCCTTTGCTGGAAGTCTCTCCGTGTTCAGCGGTCAGGGGCTGAGCCGGTGCTGTTTGTTTTCTCCTTCGCAGGGGTTTGTGTTGGGAGACTTGTGTGCCTTGCTSTCCCACAGCAGCCGTGCTGCGTGTGCCCGCATCCAGGCTCTGAGGTAGCATAACGGGCAGGGTGGCAGGAGGAGGCGGCTTGGCCACAGCAAATCTGATAACGCGGGCAGCAGAGTGGGCAGTGCCTCCATCTCTTGCTTCTTTTCCCTTGCCAGTTTTCCAGGTGGACTGAGTGAGGAAGTGGAGAGAGATTTTTGCACTGCTGGCTTCCCTGTGCTGGAGGAGGATTTCAGTGTTGCGCTGGAGCAGCTGCATGATGCCCATTCGCAGGCAGCAGGAGCCCCTAAGGTAGGTTCTTGGAGCGGAGGTGAAGATTTGAGTCTCTGGAGCTCTGTGGCTTCTGATCTCTCCCCTTTGCAGGCCTAGCCAGACGTGGGCTCTGCTCTAACATGTTGCCTGCTGCCATGTCCTCTCACATCCCCTGCTGTGGTCTTCCCCCATTACTGTTTTCTTCCACTGTTCACCTTGAGTCTGGGCRGGGAAGCACTTGTGGCCCTAATTGGAGACTGTTTAAATTGACTCGTGTAGTAGCAGTGCCAGGCTGTATGGTGGCCCTCAGGAGCAGAGGCAACTGGTGGACCAGCTGCCTTGTTCAGGTCTCTCCAGCCAGCCGCAATATAGGAATAGAGGGGCTGGGGGACGAGCTGGTGAAGGAGTTTCACCACGTGCAAGAGAAGCCTTAAATTTGATCCGTGGCCTTGGCTGGTGCAGGCTYGTCTGACAGCTGGGCAGTTTGAAGAGCTGGGAATTCCGTTGGGAAATGGAAAAAGGGTGTGAGAGAAAATCAGTTGGGTCAGCTCCTCAAGGAGGGGCACGATGCAGCTCTGAGGCAGTGAAACAGCATTTACTGGGTAACGTGGTGATGGGACCAAGCGACCCTCCAGTCCAGTCCGCTGAGCTCAGTGCAGGGCAGGAAATGCCGGCCTTGGAGCAGCTCTCCTAGCATCTTCTCCCCCAAAACATTTGCAGTCCTGTCCCAGGAAGGTGTCACCTTCCTGGTGTCATCATCCAGGTGCTTCTCTGGGACTGTTAATCGATTCATTAACTTACTAGAGGCCTAAATGAGCTGTACTTTGAGGCATATTTGCTGAGTTCACTGTAATAAAAATAACCATGAACTCTGCTCTGCAGTGAGTTGGATGAATGGGAGCTAATTTTGCTGGTATCTTAACAATCATTTATCGATTTCTTAGTAGTTGGCTGCAGTTCAGAAAGTACATTAGCAGGTTCCTGGGTACTCTCACATAAGCAACTTTAAAATCTCCGCTTGCATTTTCTTGTTAGTCCCATATTTGTTTGCCATTAAAGGGATTGTCAGCTTGAGTGTCCTAGAAAGAAATAATATCAATCATCTGGTTGCTAGCAGTAGTTCCAGCACATCCTGGACTTCTGATATTCTCTGTTGAAAACAGCTTTTTTTTTGGTTTGTTTTTGCATTCTTTCCATCTCCCGTATTGATAATTATAGAGCTTTCTCTGGAGAGGAAGCATATGCAAGACTGTGAGTAAGAAGGCACCTCTTCTATTCATTAACACAAAAAAAAGAGGGCCTGTGACCTTCTGCTTTAAAAGGTTTCTTTCTGGAAATACTTATCTTGCCTGGCCTGATTTTCCTGGAGAACTTGCTGGACAGCTGGAGTAATCTCAAGGAGTGAAGGAATGAGCACCAAATTGCCTGCAGGGGAAGGAATTTTGCTCTGCCCTATTTTTAAACTCCTTGGTCATGCTGACACCTGTTCTACACCCGGCCCACAGCTGTGGGGAACTGTGCTCAGCCTTTGCTTTCTGTGCACGCTCCCAAGGGAGCTGCTTCTGCTCTCTGGAGAGACAGCTACTTCATGCAGATTCGGTATTCCTGCTCTTTCTAAGTTTTGAGCGGGCCAGCATTCTCTGAGAGTGTTTGATTCAGCAGAAGCAACGAAAGTGGTGGCCACTCGCCCCGGCAGGTTTGCTGCCTTGGCTTTCTTTGCCGAGGTCCCTTTGTGTTTGCCGTTGGCCCCCTCCCTGTTGCTTTCCTGTAAACATCTCTGCGTATTGCTCCTATAKTCCCTTCTTCAAAAGCAGTCAATTTTCTGTGTGTGCAGGACATCTGGACATCTGTGCARGACAGAGGTCCCAATAGCTCCAGCTCTGTCGCTGTGGGGTGAATTCCCCTGTGCAGTTTTACAGCAGCAGAATGTGAGCTGTGTAGCTCCTTGCCCCACGGCAGAGTGTGGGAGAGGGTGGATGCAGACCCCGGGAGATCTCGTGATGGGGATGGTCGGGCAGCACGGGGCAGGGCTGGGTGCAGCTGGTGACAGTAGGAGCAGCGAAAGACTGATGCCCCCCTGGAGCAAGAGCTGAACAGGCTCAAGAAGAATTGCTGAGAGGGGCTCTCTCTTGCGGCAGATCCCCTCCGTGTCCTGGCAGGACGTTGGTGGGCTCCAAGAGGTGAAGAAGGAGATTCTGGACACTATCCAGTTGCCCTTGGATCACCCAGAGCTGCTGTCCCTGGGTCTGTGTCGTTCTGGCCTGCTGCTTTATGGCCCTYCTGGGACAGGGAAGACCTTACTGGCCAAAGCCGTGGCGACCACGTGCACTATGACCTTCCTCAGGTGAAAAGTTGGGGTATCGTGTTGTCAGACTGCCCTTCTCCTGGCAGCGCCCAGTTCTCCTCTAACTGTTGTGTTTYCTCCCCGCCCTGTAGCGTGAAAGGGCCAGAGCTCATCAACATGTATGTTGGGCAGAGTGAGGAGAACGTGCGCGACGGTGAGCCCAAGGGCCCTGCTCCTTGCATGGTGGGAGATGGGAACTTCTCTGGGGTGCTGGAGGGAAGGAGGTCGTAGTGAACTCCCCTCTTCCCCAACTCCTCGCAGCTGCCAGTGAGGGGGCAAACCCAACCATCTCCTGCACCACTCTGTTCTCTGCCTTGCTCTAGCCACCGCTGCTGCTCTCTCTGTTCCTGCTGYTCTTGTCCTTGGCATTGCTGGTGGGACAGCAGCCCTTCTGAAACCCAATTCAAGCCTTGGGGACCCTCATGTTAGGTTCTGCCCATGTGGTAGCCCCTGATTTGGCTGAGCCTTTTAAGTGGGAGCGGTGATTGTTGGTAAAGGGAGATGCAGCACATTCTCCTTCACAGCTCCTCTGTGCTGGTGACTTAGTGGATCCCGGTGTTCTCAACTGCTGCTTCATCTCTCTCTGTCCTCTCAGTGTTTGCCAGAGCCCGGGCAGCTGCTCCCTGCATCATCTTCTTTGATGAACTGGATTCCCTGGCCCCAAATCGTGGACAGAGTGGAGATTCAGGGGGTGTTATGGACAGGTAAGATAGCACAGAGCATCCTTAGGACAGCAGATGTTCTTACCTGAGCTGGGGGAGCAAGGGATGGCCTAGTGAGGCAGAGTCCATCCCGGCTCTCCTGTTGTCCCTCCTTGCTCCCTTCAACTCTCCTGCACAGCCTGTCTCCTCTCTGAGGCCACCAGTACCACTGTTTGCATTGCAGCAGATCCCTGATTGCCCAAGCCTCTTGTGCAAACATTTGGTTAAGACCGGGCCTCCTCCAATAGCTACTGTGGCTGCTAGCTGTTCCCTTTGGCCTCTCCAAGGCCATGCTTCATGCTCCTGACTTGTCCTCCTCCCATTAGCTGCTGTTTCCCCATAGTGGGAAACCTTTCAGCTGGCTCTGGTCAAAGGGAAGTTCATCCAGCTTGGATGCAGAAACAGGGCAGGTTCCTCCAGGTGTCTTTTGCTGGGCTGATGTCCAGTCCTCATCTCTATCCATGAGAATTTCTGCAGAGTGGAAGGTTTGGGAATAATGCTGTGCACCCCAGTGTCCACCTGCACACATGAAACAGCACAGCTGGAAGGAGCTTTTTAGATGCGTGTCGGCAGGCCCATAGTGTTCCCAGAACCTGGTGGAGCCATCCCCATGCTAGGAGGGCTGCGTGACACTGAGGTCTCTCTGCAGCAGCCACCTGGATTTGGGATTTACAGCACTTGCTGTCTGGCAGCCTCATTGGCAGAGACTGCAAGCGCAGAGCTGTGTGGCAAGGAGAGCTGGTGTCGGGGAATCCAAGCCACGGCCGTGCACCCCTGCTTGTGTTTGGTCCATGTGCTGGTGTCCGTGATAACAGGGGCATGCAGGTGCAGCCATCCTGGAAGGGTTTAGGGCCAAGGAGTGGCTTTGAGGGCTGTCTTGACACTAGGAGGTTGCACTCGCTTTGCAATGAGCCTACATGATCACTGGCTTCCCTGAGAGATGTGAGTAACTGCAGCAGGACAATTCCAAAGAAGAAAGATAAGAGTTGGAAGTCAGGACAGGGACCTGTGAGTCGTTGAGTGCCGTAGTGGGCAATWTGCTGAGGCTTTGTTGTGTCTTCTCACATTCCTTGCAGAGTTGTCTCCCAGCTCCTGGCTGAGCTTGATGGACTTCATTCCACCAGAGGGGTGTTTGTCATCGGAGCTACAAACAGGCCTGATCTCCTGGACCCATCGCTGCTCCGGCCAGGAAGGTTTGTTGCACCCTACTCTGCCTCGCTTTAGGGCAACTCCGTAGAGTTCTCAGGCAGCAATGAGCTGAACTGAGCCCAGACGTAGTCCTGATGTCTGCAGCCAGTCCATGCTGGGGCAGAACTTGCCCTTGTTGGATCTCATGAGGTTCCTGTGAGCTCATTTCTCCAGCCTGTGTGGTGAGGTCCCTCTGAAGAGCTGCCCTGATGCCCAGTGCGTCGGCTGCTTCCCCGCATCCTGGTGTCATCCATACCCTTGACAGCAAAAGGGTTCTAGTGCACAGGGCTGGGCCGTGCAGAGAAGTTTCTCTTGGCCTTCTTTGACTGTATCTTCTCTCCGCTGACAGATTTGACAAGTTGGTCTATGTGGGCATCAATGAAGACCGGGAGTCGCAGCTGCAGGTGCTGAGTGCTGTCACCAGGAAGTGAGTGACCATGTCTTCTTGCAGCCCTGCAGTGGGCTGTGGCCTTCCTGGGCTCACACGTGGGCTGCTCCAGCTTGGCCTTGGGTCTGGGCCCCAGAGAACACCTGAGTTGTTGTCAGGCAGCCAGGTAAAGGGCAGGACAAGGATAGGTTTTCCGCATGATGGGAGCAGCTCGGCTCCCTGAAYGTAGGCTGGAGGAGCTGGTAGAGTTCTCCAGTCACCGTGCCCAGGTCTTGTGCTGGAGGAGCTCAGCCAACTGTGGTGAGGCTGTATAGCAGGAGGCCCCTCTGGGGTCCCACAAGGTTTCTGCTAGCACAATTCCTGCATTTTCCAGGAGGTCTCTCCTCCATATGAAAGTCCTGTCACCCAGGACAGCTGGGTGAGCAGCAGATCTGCCTCCTCAGCAGAGACTTGTAAGCTGGGGCGCCGGGACTGCTCCTCCCTGCGAGGATAATGTGGTAGGAGAGGCTGGTCAGGAGCACCTTTCCACGCCATGTGGTTTGGCAGCAGCGCCCTCCGGCACGCACGGTGCTGCTGTCTGCCTGCTCCGCGGCTCCCGTGGGGCGGTTCGGTGTCCAGGTGCTTCGTACCTGCAGTAATTAAAGGTGTTCTCCTGCAGCCCTGGCTGCAGGCTGTTCCCAGCTGTGGAGAGCACTTGATTTCCCTGAGCYGGAGTAGAGCTGCTTTTGACCATGCTCGGCAGGATTGCAGCAGGGATGCCTCAGAGAGGAATTGGCCTTGTTAAAAGAAGAGAAAAAAAAAAAAAACAGGAAAGCTTTTCCTCCTCTTTTCTTTTTCCTCTTTTTTCCTGTCTTTTTTTCTCTTTTTTTTCCTGTCCTTTTTTCCTCTTTTTTCTTTTTTCTCCTTTTCGCTGTCTTTTTTCTTTTTTCCTTTTTCCTTTTTTCTTTTTTCCTATTTTTCTCTTTTTTCCTGTCTTTTTTCTTTTATTTTTCCCTTTTTTCTCTTTTATTTTTCCTCTTTCTTTCTCTTTTTTCCTGTCTTTTTTTCTTTTTTTTTCCCCTGTCTCTTTTATTTTTTCTTTTACTTTTCCTGTCTTTTTTCTCTTTTTTTCCTGTATTTTTTTTCTCTTTCTTTTCACACAGAACACAGCCCACCACAGAGCATGGCTCTAGCCTCCAGTTCTTCCTGTTCAGTCTGCCACATTTCTCCCAGTCCCCAGTCGCTCTCTCCATTTCTCTCTCCTTCTCTCTCCCCCCTTTCTTCTCTCTCTCTCCTCCCATTCTCTCTCCCCCTCTTCTTTCTCAGTCTGCCTCTCTCATTGTTCTTCCCTCCCCAGTTGCTGTCACACYTGTTGCTATTTTTCTTTGCAGGTTTAAATTGGATCCCTCTGTGAGCCTCCCCAGTATCCTAGAAAAATGCCCCGCTCGGCTGACGGGYGCAGACATCTACGCGCTGTGCTCAGATGCCATGATGAGCGCTGTCAAGCGCAAGGTGGAGTGGATTGAGGAAGGTGAGAGCCCGGCCCCAGCCTGTCTTGCGGCTGCCCTGCGCAGGGGACGCTTGCTGCTGCCCCGGGAATTTGGCTGGAAAAGAAGAGGTTTGGGAGCGCGTGAGGCCGCCTTTCTYCCCGGTGCTTGGCCACAGGGGAACGGGCAGAGGGATGTGCGACTCCCAGCCTGCTGGCAAATAAGAGCAGGCTGGTGGGAGGGCTCCTCCCCGGCCCTGCTCTCTGCTCTGAGCCTGTTCTTGCTCTCTCTCGTGCAGGGCTGGACACAGAGAGTTCTGCTCTGGTGCTGACCATGGAGGACTTCCTGCAGGCGGCCGTGAGGCTGCAGCCCTCGGTCTCTGAGCAGGAGCTGCTCAGGTACAGACTGATCCAGCAGAAGTTTGATGCCTGCTAAGCCCCAGCAGAGCTGAAAGTGGAGGAGATGAAACTGTAAAGGACACAGGAGACCTGAGACAGAAACTGTGACCCTCTTCCCATTGCTCCTAGAACCTCTCTGGTGCCTGGCTGAGCAAGTCGCCATGCCCTGCAATGATGCTCAGTGCGGTGCTGGGACCCCTGTCACTGCCCAGCACCCATGGGAGCTGTTCACGGGTGCTTGGAAAGCTTGCCAGCTTCCCAGCTTGTGGGAAGCCGGGAGTCTTGAGGGCCGGGGGAGCATGCGAATAGTTTGGTGGTGGACAGGGCAGCCGTATGGCACTAAGTTGGGCAGCAGGAGAAGGGATCTGGAGGTTGTCCCTTGTTGGAGCACTACCCCCAGGCGAAGGGAACTACCCCAAGAGCGTGGAAGAACAGCAAATACTGCTGACGCAGCCAGCCAGGGATTGATGTGGACTTTGTAAATAAACAGAAGTTTCCAACCAGCTCTTGCCTCTGCGTGGTCAGCATGGAGCTTTGGGCCTTTGCTCAGCGCAGGCCTCGGGAAAGGGCCCTTTGAACCCCTGGGCAGGGCTGGGTTGTGCAAAGAAACCGCTGTCCCAGTGAGATTGGGGCTGCGTAGGAACAGGGCTGGAGTAGAGGCCACCACAGTGCCTGAACACTGATTCTGCTGGGAGGTTCTCACTGCCGGGACAAGCCCCCACGGCCACCTCTCATCCCCTGCTCAGCGCTCACCAGGGCGCGCGGTGCCGGCAGCTGCTGCTGCTCTCGCACATCAGAATCCCAGGAAGCGCAGTCAGGATCCCAGCGCAGGAGCCGCAGAACCTGCAGCTGCAGGGGCGGCTGGTGGCGGACGTGGGAGAAGCCCAGGGCTGGTGCCCACCCCGTGAAACTGGGTTGGGCTGTGAGGGGCTCCCAGCTCTTGCTGCCACCCGCGAGCTGCACGGAGCGGTGCTGGGCAGCATCTGGGCRCTGCGGAGCAAGGCCCTGTCCTGCCGCCCACAGCGAGGGCCACGCGGGCGCTGCTAGCCCTGTGGCTCTGAGCATGTCGGGGCAGGGCTGCCTGCGGCCGGGACGCGCCGCCTCGCTCAGCTGCAGCAGACGCTGCCACCTCAGCCTGTGGAGCCCTCAGGGCCTGGCGGGGTGAGGCTGGGGAGTGCTGGACCGCACGGCACCCAGCAGAGGCCAGAAAGGGAGAGGACGGCGTRTGGCGGCAGCGGTGGTGGGGGAGCCCTGCTGCAGGCGGCTCGGCACCGCGGGCACTGGCAGCTGCCTCTTCCATGGGTGCCCAATCCCCAGGCTGGCCTGGTCCCCAAGGCAGGGCCTCGGCACCTGGCCGTCCCCAAGCACCTGCTGCTTCCCCTGTCCCCACTGCCCCTGCACGGAAACACGGACCCAGGGCTGTGGTAGCTGGCACGAGCGCCCTTCATTGACAGGAAAACGGGTCCCAGTCTTCGTTGGGGAAGGCACTGCAGGGGTGGTGTCCCAGCCCTTGCTGCACTGAGGTCTCTGTGGCCGTCGTCGCAGCAGTCCGGCTTCAGGCTGTCTTCTTCACCACGTGGATGAAGTAGCAGGGGGTGTGGGCCTGCCCTGGTGTGTAGGGCTGGAAGTCGCCCAGGACACTGTGCTGGCACTTCCCCTGGAAGGCACCTTTGAGCAGCGCTGTGAAGGCCTCCAGCTGGTGCGGGTAGTASGAGAGGCGAAACTTGCTGCAAGGAGGCGCTGGGGTAAGGCCAGGGGTCACAGGGCCACCACCGGCCACCTGCGCCCCCCCACTCACCTCAGCTCCGGGGCCGCCCCGGCCTCCTCGGCCGGCACCTGCACTGTGTAGTCCAGGGTCACCATGTGCGCCTTGTTGTTCACCAGCAGCACCGACGTGGTGATGTCCTTGGTCAAGTCACTCTGGGGAGCGCGGGAGGCCGGCTGGGTCCTGTGGGCGCGCAGCGTCCCCTTCCCTCCCCACCCCGGGCCCAGGGGCGGCCGAAGCTGGGGCAAGTCCCAACCCCAACCATAGTGGCCCCCCCCCCCTACCTTGTAGTAGATGTTCTTGCCTGGTGGGGCGCAGCCCGTGGCCAGGATGTGGTCGTAGTTGCGGTGGTCGATGATGAGGACACCGCCGGGGCGCACCATGCTGGCGATGTTCCTCAGGGCCAGCTTGTGATCGCTCTGGTCCCCTGCGGAGGAGAACATTGGGGCGGGGGGGGGGGAGTGGATGTCCGTCCTTATGCCCCCCAATGAAAATGGACACCTAATGTATGGGCTCAATGGGCCCAGGAACAGTGGCACCTGCTCAAGTTTGTCTCCCCCCACACACACACCCACTTGTGACATGAGTTCAGGCACGGCCTCAGCCCCGCCACCCCGCGCCAGGCTCACCTTTGAAGTCGGGCAGGTGGGCGAAGGAGTTTCCCAGGCAGATGACGGCGTCGAAGCCGTCGCCCGGCTTGTCCAGGTCGCGCTCCAGCGTGAGCCAGTTGGCCTCCTCGATGACTGTGGGGCGCAGCGTGAGCGCGGCGGCCGCCCCGCGCCCCCCGCCCCGGCCGCGCGCTGCCCGCCGCACCCCATCGATCGAAGGGCTCCTCCTTGCGCCGCTCC